TGCAGTATTTGGGTTTTCCTGGTATTTAGGTGTTTTTGGAGGTATTCTTTTTGGTGTGGTCTTGGTGAGATCCATTTGGAAGATATCGCACCATTTTACAGATATGGTTTTTCCCAAACGTGGGATATAGGTATAGTCATTTGTGGTATTGGCTGAGATGGTGTAATCCCATTTCATAATCCATGGGATTTGTTATAAGGCCATGAAATAAAGGTGAGTGTCAACCATATTATCATTATTATTGTATCGCACAAATTATTCCTGCAGGTTTTTGAAAGCAGGAGGTAGAACCAAAGAAGTTGAGCCCCAAACAAAGAATCAGTTTTGAAACCATGTGGGGAATCTTTCAAAAATAGGCAGTCGGAACTGAAGATACCAGCTGTGTGTATTGTTTGGATTTTGGTAATAAAAGAATTTGTGCCAGGCTTCTATATACTCGGCATATTTGAAATATTTATATGAAAACTCTGGGTTGTGTAATTTCTTTCCCTGTGCGGGATTGCAACCCCACTCATCATAGGGAAGAAGTTTCCTTATCTGAACTTTAGAATAAGCAATTATTCTGGTATTTTGCTGGAAGTAATGGACAACAGAGATGGACCCTGTTTCCATGAGTATGGCTTCATAGTATTCTCTGGTCTTAACCCCATTGGTAGGGTTGAGTTGGTTTAGCAAGTATAAGGGTGCAAGTTTGATTGGATCCATATGAACCTGATGTTCACCTATGGTGATATCCATTAAGAATGCTCTTTCTATATATACAGATCTTGGAATGTTTGATGTAGGAGCAGATTTTGATTGAGCTGGTGAATATGTAGGAGTAGAAGCATGTGCTTCTGGATAAGTAATTTGATGTATTGGGGACTATGAAGTTGAACGGATATTTAGAGGTGAAGGTTCTCCTTCATAAGGAACTATATTTCTCATGGGTTGTTTATCCCTGCGAGAATTGCCACGGGATCCCATGTATTCAGATGAGGATAAAATATCAGTATTAAGTTGGTTCTCTTGGAATAATTGAAGAGCAAGAGATAATGGGGATTCGTCGTTGGCGTCAATGTAGGCCCCCCTGCAAAAATTCACGGGTTAAAAAATCAGGTAAGGAATTAGAAGACCCGGGAAGGTGTTCGATGGAAAAATCAAAGGCTGATAAAATAGCCTGCCATCGAGCAAATATTTGTTTAGAAACCAAATTTTGAACATCTTTTTGCAAGATATCTTTGGCTGCTTTGCAGTCCGTCCATATTAAGAAATGTTGATTTAAAATATCACTTTGAAATTTAGTCACACAGTGGACTATTGCTAATAGTTCCTTTTTGACCATAGAATAATTAAGTTGAGTAGTATTCCAGGCTTTGGAGGTATATCGAAGAAGTTGTTCTTTCGAATCAATTTGTTGTTTGAGAATACCACCAAGACCTTTATCAGATGCATCACATTCAATAATTTTGAAAGCAGTTGGATGTGGAAGGGAAAGATATTCTAGGGTTTTTACCTTCCTTTTTATTACCTGTACTGCTCGGGTATGGATATTTGTCCATGGTGGAGGATTCTTTTTGAGTCTATCATATAAAGGCTTAGAATCTAATGCAAGGTTAGGATAAAAATCACTAACATAATTCAAACAACCTAAGAATCTTTGAAGTTCCTTTTTATCAAGGATCTGATCAGGGAATTTATCAGCAAATTCTATTGATCTGTCTATGGGAATAATAGTTCCATGATGAATCATATGTCCTAGAAATCTGATATTGGTTTTAAAGAGTGTAATCTTTTTAGCTGAAACAACTAATCCAGCATTCTTTACTGCATGTATAAATGTGTGAATATGTTTGATATGTTGATCTATGGATTCTGAAAAGATTAATACATCATCAATATATACTATCATAAAATGATGATAAGCATTGAATACTTCATTCATTATTTTTTGAAATTCTGATGGAGCATTTTTCAAACCAAATGGCATAACATTCCATTCGTATTGTCCAAATAGAACATTGAATGCAGTTTTTTATTTATCTTGTTCTTGGATTTGTATTTGCCAATAACCAGATTTCATATCAAATTTTGAAAAGATACATGCTTGAGCAACTCTATCTAATAAATCTTTCTTATTAGGGATTGGATATCTTATCCATTGTAAGACTTTATTCAAAGGTTTATAATTAATGACAAGTCTAGGAACTCCTCGTTCCTTTTCAGCATTTTTATTGACATAAAAAGCTGCACAGCTTCAAGGTGAGGAGCTTGGTCTTATAAGCTTTT